ATCCCCCCCCCCCCCCCTCCCCCCCCCCCCGGTGTTTGCCATCGGGATTGGGTTTTCGTCGCTTGGCAACGACGTTGTAAAACAAGCCAATTCACTTCGTGAACTCGGCAACCAGGTTACCGTTTTTTTTTTTTTACCTCGTTTTTTTTTTTGGCGGTAACCATAATGGTGGTCGAGTAGATCATGTTGTGCGGGGTGGAGAAACCTCACTCCGCGCAAGGGGGATGATCGCACCACGTTGTGTTAAAATGGTCAAGCTTCCTCGAGGCAGTTACACAGTGCTTACAACTGTCTCTGGAAGTGAACGCACCAGAAAATAAATTAAGTCATACGCAGCTGTCATCCGTACGCAAGGAAGTAAGCACAAAATGCCGAACACCCTTAGCAGGAGGCAGTTCACCCTTCATGGGACTCGCGGAATACCTCAGGGCGTTTCGCGCTTGGTGATGTGAGAGCCTGGTCCGGTGAGAACCCGGCATGTTCCGTCCCGGTTTTGTAGGGATGGGAGGTCAATGGTTAAAGGAATACGGCATGCAGGATTGGGATTACCCCCCCCCCCCCCCTGCCTCCGGGCCTGTCTCACCTGCCATGCTTCTAGCCCGCCTGCCAGAACAACAGACCTAGCGCCATCTTCGCCACGGCCGCCGCCACCACCACCAGACGAAGAAGCTTCGGTCCCTCCCAGGGCCGTGAACAGATCGCCCCATCCACCGCCGCCGCCGCTGGTGCTGGCAGCGCCGCCGCTCCCGCCGACACCCCGGCCACCGCTGCCACCGCTGGCCTCCTCCTCCTCCCCCTCCTCCTCCTCTTCCTCGTCTTCCTCATCCTCCTCGTCTTCCTCCTCGTCTTCCTCCTCCTCCTCCTGTTCTTCCTCCTCATCCTCTTCCATCGGATCGGGCTCTACCGCTGTCGCCGGCCCTGCCGCCGTCGCCGCCGGCACGGAAGGTGGTAATCCCGTCAGCAGCCGCGCGAGAGCGTCCTCCTCCTCTCCTCTCTCCTCCACCCGGTCGCCGCCGTCGCCGTCGCCGTCGCCGACCCCTCCAACCTCGGTCTTGATTTCAACGCCGGTGTTGCCGCCGCCGCCGCCGCCGCCGCCGCCGCCGGCCTCCCGGTCGCTTCCCCGACAAGCAGCAGCAGGAGGAGGGGAAGACGCGGGAGCACTCGCCGAGGGTGTTACCCCCGCCGCCGCCACCGCTCCGGTTGCTGCCCCTCCTCCCGGAGATGATGATGACGGCTGGGTCCCCTTCGCCTTTCCCTTCCCCTTCTTGTTGGACGATGCCGCCGGCGGTGCGGTCTCCACGCCATCTCCTCCTCCTCCGCCTTCCGCTGCTGCCGCTGCCCCAGCTGCTGCGGTTGCATCGACGGCGTCATCGTCATCAGCAGCATCGCCGTCCTCGCCCTCGCCATCACCACCACGTTCGGCGGCGGCGGCGGCATCGCTGGTCCTCTTCCGCCTCTTTGCGGAGTGACCATCGTCCTTCGAGCCAGCACCAGCGGAAGACAACGAGGACGACGGCGGCGGCGGCATTTTCCCTGCTGGCGGGGTGGCAGAGGACGGGGTGGCACTCTCGTCCCCTCTTCCACCTTTCCCTTTGCCGCCGTCGCCGCTTCCTCCGTCGCCGCCGCTGTCGGCGGCAGCGGCGGCGGTGGCGCTCCCGCTCCCAGCCGCCGGTGCCC